GGACCCGGGGAGCGGGGCGCGGGCGGAGAGGACCCGGGGAGCGCGGCGGCGGGAGGGGAGGGACGCGCGGAGACCGCGGCCCGGCGGGCGCCCTCCACCCGTGCCAGCCCCGCCAGCGGGTTTGTCGAGACTTGTCCGAACAATTGCTTCACTCAAGGAAGACACGTTTGAAAAACGTTACAGTGTGGCCCCAGAATCTACGAAACGGGTTTTATGAAACGCCGGCCACCTCCCCTGGCGCTGTCTCTTAAAGACAACATTTAAATGCAGAAGGGTTTGGGTTTTTTCTTCCCTACGCGCAGAGGCAATGAAAGTAATTATAGACGTGGGGCATTCCGGTAAGGACGCGGAATCCAAAGGAGGAAATAAAACAATAGCCTTTGTTCTGCTTCTCGACCGCTGCCTCTTTAAGAGAATCCACCAGGAAATGGGAGATCGGGTTACAGACGGCACAAGGGGAAATGTGGGCTGAGCGAGCGCCGGAGCGCGACGCGGGAGACAAAGCCGGGCGGCCGCGCCGCAGAGGCAGGAGCGCAGCCAGGCGGGGGGATTCCCCGGCAAGGGGGGCGCCCCGAAAAGAGGAGCTGCCGCGCGCGTCGGCTCGTGGGTGCGGCCCGCAGGCGCCTGCTCACCCAGCACGCGTTCAGGGGAAGGCAAGGCTGCTGGGCAGTTATCAAAGGCGGTAGAGTTCCTTTTCCTGATTCCCCCTCCCGGTTTCGAATTCCACTGTCCATTTAAAGAAATAGCGACCGCTACCAACCGAAATAGGTGACTCAACTACAAAGTTGACAGGACGTGTTCCTGAAGATAATGCCCCTTACCAAGAATTCTCTGAAACCGTCGTGAGCCAACTCGCCGGTCCTGGGATCTGCTGGGAGTGGGCGATGGTGGAGTGGTATTTGGTTGGAAAAACAGTTGAGGGGAAGTTAAAGCCGGTGGGGCTAAGGTTCTAGCCATGAACACATGTGGCCAGATCCCTCTGTTATTTTTATTGTTATTTATACTGTCTTAAAATCTCCCTGTGTCCACCGTAGAATACATTGTAATTATTATTATGTTTAGATTCTAAACCCTGCAAATATATGCTTACAGATTTAATGTGTGGATTTGTTTTAGAGTATATATATGTAAATACATAGTGTAAATGTGTGTTTGTGTGTGATGTTCCCTGCATCAGACCAAGACAGATTTCCCAGATCCTCCTCAACATAGGATTTTTCCTACCCACTTTCCTTCACCTCATTGTGTGATACAATACATTCAGATTTTAACAAACTACTTATGTTCACACATTCATCAGAACACTCCTAGCCAGCATTTATTAAAAGGGCTGGTGTGGAAAAAACTCCTGTTGCTGGAAAGGTGGAAATGGCTTTTTTTTTTAAAAGCTTCCTGGGACCTTAGCAGCTTTTGTCACCTGGTAGGCCTGTTCTCTCCAGGAGAAGTCAGTCCTGTCCACATCACCTCTGCCCTTGACTTCAGTCTCATCAAGTAACAGTCTTGTTTATCTTCTCAACTGCTTTTGCTGGCATTGATTCTGATGTCCCATTGCTGGGTTAAATCCTATAAACCTCTACGCCACTGATTTATCCATATGATCTTTGACAACTCACTTGTTAAGCTCCTATAAAGTGGGAGGAATAGAACTTATAAGATTATTGTATTAAGTGAGAAAATACATAGGAAGTGCTTACTTAACGGAGTGCTTGCCACATATTTTTTGTGTTCAATAAATGTTAGCGTGTGATTTCAAAGCAAAATATTCAGTAGCAACTGTGGCAGAAGCTGCATTTAGACCAGAGGTTGGCAATCTTTCTGTAAATGCCAGAGTAAATATTTTAAGCTTTGTGAGGCAAAATTGAGGATATTATGTAGATGATTATTTAATAAGAGAAGAAAACAAATGTCTCCAATTTTTATTGTCGAAAATAAAAACAACTGAGTATAATTTTTTTTGTAATATAGGTCTAGCAATGAGAGGAATAGAATTATTTTTTTGGAGGGGATAACATTTTACCTAGTTTGGGTTCAAAGTTAGTGTTCCCTGTCATGGAAATCGATTGCAAGTGTTCCTCTGTTAATGCTTATCTATAATGAGAATTTACATATTTCATTTTTAAAACTGTCTTCACACAGGTACTGCCAAATATATCAATCCATAAGCATATGATTTGAAGAGAGCATATTCATTGCATGGAAGATGTATTAGTTTCCTATTACTGCCATAACAAATTACCACATACTCGTTGGCTAAACAAAAGAAATTTATTCTCTCACAGTTCTGTAGGCCAGAAGTTCAAAATCAAGGTGTCAGCAGGGTCACACTCTCATTGGAGGCTCCGGGGGTGACTCCTTCCTTGCCCCTTCCAGCTTCCAGTGGCTGTCAGCATTTCTTGATTTCCTTGGTTTGTGGCCACATCACTGCAGTCTCTCACTTTATCTTCCCATTGCCTTGTTGTATGTTTGTGTCTTTGCATCTTCTGTCTGTGTCTTCTCCTCTTCCATCTCTTATAAGGACACTTGACATTGGATTTAGGTTTACCCGATTAATCCAAAATGATCTAATCACAAGATCCTTAATGACGTCAGCAAAGGTCCTCTTTCCAAATAAGGTCACACTTACAGGTTCCAAGGATTTGGATGTGGAGATACCTTCTGGGGGACTACCATTCAACCTACTACAGAAGGCATTTACAAAATCCTATTAGAGTCTCCATTTGATATTTCCCTTTTAGCATACCATTACATTGTAGACTATCACTTCCAAATGAAGATTAGGTAGAAGCTCTTCAGTCGCACAGTTAATTGGATTTAAAATATGGAAATTTCCTTTGCACTTGCATAAAGGTCCAAAAAACACTGTTGGAATAGTAGTTCAGACCCAGCAAAATATAAATACTTCAAGTCTGAGTGGGAATGGAGATCTTGTTTCTTGGGTTAACTTTTGACAGCATTTGACATTACTTGTGACTCAAATAATGTTACCCATTGCCATTGAGTTGATTCTGACTCATAGTGACCCTATAGGACAGAGTAGAACTGCCCCATAGGGTTTCCAAGGAGAGGCTGGCAGATTTGAACTGCTGACCTTTCAGTTAGCAGCTGAGCTCTTAACCACTGTGCCACCAGGGCTCCCAAACAATGTCAGTTGTATCAAAATTACTTTACTGCAGTGTAAATTTTACATATAAGCTCTATTTTGCTTAGTAATCTTAGGTTTAATTCATGAAGAAAGATATCAAGACTGCAGCAAAAACTAATTTCCAGAGTCATTCAGTGTCCAATAATGATGGCTGAGGGCAGTTCTTTTCAATCAGAAAAATTTCAGTCTTGGCCCTGAGAGCAAAAAAATCACAGTAAAACTTTACCAATGCTTAGCCATCAAATTACCGTGTGGTAGGGAAAGTCATGATATTCAGTTTCTATTTCTGACAATAATTCACAGAATTGTCGATGGTGTCGACGAAGAATATTGAATAAACCATGGACTGCCAGAAGAACGAACAAATATGTCGTGGAAGAAGCACAGCCAGAATGCTCCTTAGAAGCAAGGATGGCAAGACTTCATCTCACGTACTTTGGTCATGTTATTAGGTGGGACTAGTCCTTGGAGAAGGACGTCATGCTTGGTAAAGTAGAGCGTCATCAAAAAAGAGGAAGACTCTCAATGAGATGGATTGACACAGTGGCTGCAACAGTGGGTTCAAACATGGCAGCAATTGTGAGGATGGCGCAGAACCAGTCAGTTCTTTCGTTCTGTTATACACAGGGTCGCTATGAGTTGGAGGCAACTCGATGGCACCTGACAACAACAAGTTCACAAAAGCAAATGAAGTTCACGGTTGACACCGCCAGTTAAGTAATACATGATAGATTCAAGTATTTTTCATAGAGTCCTTGCTGATGAATCTATATAAAGAGCAATGTATATAACCATAGGCTTTAAACACCTTACATTTTCACAAGCTTTGTAAATTTGTCCAACTAAGCCTTTTTCTGCTCCACACATATTTTTACCATCATCACTTGTAACACATCTTAGCAGATTCCACTTCAGGTTGTACTAAACTGGTGTTTTCTCAACTTCTTTGAAAATATTTTCTCCGGTAGTTGTTCTATGCAGACTATTCATATAGGCTAATTCCTCAGACAA